AGTGAGAATCTCGGGTGGCCCCTGGCCCTGGCTGAGGGTCGATCTGTGTCTGGGCAAAGTGCCCACCATCATGAGGAGTTATCCTGCCCAGGGACCTGTGCATCTGGCCCTTGGAGAATTGGCTAGGGGGTACCAGGCCCATTTGAGCACCTACTACGTGCTCCTGGATGCCTACTATGTGCTCCTGAGTGCCCACTACGTGCCACGGTATCTTCAGGCATGCTTCTGTCACGTGCTTTGCCACAGTACTATACAGTGGAGAACCCACGGCAGGAATAGTCACTTTTCATAAGTAACGCCAAACTTCAGTGCTGGGGGCGTGGCTGGGGATGTTAGTGGAATGTTTGCCTAGGATGCATAAGGTTCTAGGTTTGATCCCTAGTACTGCACAAACCCAGGATGGTGCTGTATAAATAAGCTCTGGAGGTTCAGTAGTTCAAGGCCAGCCCGGACTATGAGATTCTGTCTGAAAACAACTAAGTCAAGACAAACCAACAAGAAATGGGCCAGGAAGATGGCTTAGTCAATAAAGTACTCACTTTTCAAGCAGGAACACCCGAATTTGATCCCCAGCACCTGTGTGAAAGCCAGGTACGTTGGTGTATGTGTGTGGTGCCAGCTCTGAGGAGGTAGAGCCAGGAGGATCCCTAGGGGTCACTGGCTGGCCAGTCTAGTATATTCGGTGAGCTACAGATTCAGTAGGAGACTCTGTGTCTTCAAACAAACAAACAAGCAAAATCAAGGTGAATGACTCCTGAGAATACGATCTAAAATGCTTCTCTGGTCTCCATGTGCATATGTACACACATGCACCTGCATACACAAGTGTGCCACAGGGACACACACAGCTCCATACTGTCACCTTCACCTGTCACCTGGGCACCCACCTACTAGAAGTCACAGGGGTCCCAGAGGGAAACAAGAGGGTTGCCACAAACCAGGGCTAAGCCGGTCTCTCTTCCCACCCCATCAACTCACTCTTCTGTGTATTTCAGTGTATTCAATGTTAATGTGTCTACCTAAGTGCATTTATGGATTATATCATCCAGCTTTAACCAAACTAATCCTCCAGGGTAGCCAAGAGACTTACAAGATTCCTGCCAAGAAACTGCATCCACTCCTGCTGAGCCAAAGAGAGAAGTGGCCGGCTGATGAGTTCCACAGAAGCTCATCATCACCAGTCACAGAGACGGGAGCAAGGCAGGACAACAGACACTCCAAGGGCTGCTGAAATGCTCAGCGGACAAAGGAGTTTGCCGCCAAACCCTGGACGACCTGAGTTCAATCCCCAAGACCCACATGGGGGAAGAAGAGAACCAACTCCCTAAAAGTTGTTCTCTGACCTCTGACCTACACACACACACACACACACACACACACACACACACACACACACACACACACAGAGAGAGAGAGAGAGAGAGAGAGAGAGAGAGAGAGAGAGAGAGAGAGAGCGCTTTTAAAGTACTATTTGAAACACTTCCTCTCCCATCCTTCCTAGTACAGCCTCAGCCCTGGGTGTCTTGTGCCTTGAGATGTTCATCAATGACAGCATAAAATCCTCATGGTTCACCAGACATTTAAAAACAGTCTTCAGAACATGAAGACAAACCCCCTGTAATTATTTTCCCTGTGATGTTTAAAGCTATGTGCTTCTCAGCCTGCACTTTTGATATTTCCCTAAGCAATGATAAATATTTGGAAAGCTCTTGTAAAGTTTCTTACATAATAGCATAAGACAACAGAAAAAACACCTAACACCAGGCACAGTTCTTCTTTCTGCTGCAGTAAAAATGGCAGAAACAATGAGCAGTAAATGATCTGTCGACAAACCGAAAGGCACATCTTTGTCAGCAAATACTCCTGAAAGATGTGGGGGAAACATTGCCGTTGATTGGAAGAAGCGAGTATTAGAGAAAATTACCCAGTGTGGGAGGTTTTCTGTACAGTTGACTGGAAGTACAGATGTTTCTAGCACATTGCAGCTTAAGGTATCTTCTGGATTCTCTCCCAATAATGAAACACACACACACCACTTTCTGGGTGTGTGAGCCACTAACAGCGAGCTACAGCAGAGAAGATATACTGCCCACAGTAAATGCCTTGTTGAAGGAAAGCAATGGCCTATGGGGAGCATGGTAGAAGTTACACTAATGGAAGGGCTGTTTGGAAAGGGTGTTTAAAAGGATTCTGGGTAACAGTTAGGATTCAGCGTCTTCAATTCACCCCACCTGCTCTGCCATCCATGGTCAAAGCAGCACCAAGAGCAGCAGCCTAGGCACAGATGGAGGAGGTGTGGAGTGAGCTTGTAAAAAACAAGATTGTCACCTTAGGGCAGAATTATTGTGATTGATAATGACGTTGGGTGTGATCTTGAAAGCTTTCCAGGCCAGACAGAATGAGTCAGGGATAATTGTAGCAAAGTCCTCGAAGAAGGTGTCCCGAGTTTACCCCCAGCCTTCTCTGCCACTGACATGGTCTGACTGTGCTGCCCCAGCTAATCTGGAACTCCTGAGCTCAAGAAATCCTCCTGCTTCAGCCTCCCCAGTAGCCGGAATCATCTGGTTCCATTCCTTCTCTCCCTTCTCCTCTTCTCCCTCTTCCACCTCTCCCTCTTACTTTCCCTCCTTCCTCTCCTCTTCCTCCTCCTCGTCTTTTTCCTCCATTTTTTTTGAGATAGCATCTCACTATATAGTCCAGGCTACCTTATGGAGCCCAGGCTGGTCTTGAACCTGTGGTTATCTTCCTGCCTCAGTCTCCCAAGTGCAAGAAATTATGAGGCTATACCACCATGACTGGCTCTTCTAGACGTGTGTGCTGACATTTATTAAGGTGATGAGAGCTGTCTGTTTAGGTACTTGGTAAAAAAGCTTGAAAAATAACTGTGCTTTTCCTCCCTGTTCATGCCCTCTTAGTGAGGATGCCCTTTTAATGAAAAAGTACTAGGGTCACTGTCTTTGAATCTTTGAATAATGATTTGTGGTGGGGAAAGAGAACCTGGTGACAGATTTGAAAGGATTTTCTTTGCATGGGCGTGAGCACCTGAGAGAGAGCCTTCACCGAGGCCAGAAGAGCATCACGCGGCCTCCTCTAGTACCCCCTGCCTTATTCCTTTGAGCCAGTCTGGTTATGAACCTGGAACTCACAGTTACCAAGCTCTGAAGATCCTCCTGGCTTCGTTCTCCTCAGTGCTGGGTTACAGGCATGTGTGAGGCTATGCTTGACTGGGATCTGAACTCTGGCACTCATGTCTGAGCAGCAAGAGCTCCTGCCCCTAGTCCAGCTCCTGAAGAGGCTTTTCACTGGGGCTTGATCCTATGGCCAAAGATCTATTTTTAGAAGTTAGATTATTGTGGGGCAGTGGTGGCGCACACCTTTAATTCCGGCACTCTGGAAGCAGAAGCAAGCCGATCTCTTAGAGTTCGAGGCCAGCCTAGTCCACAAACTCTAAGAGATCCGCTTGCTTCTGTCTTCCAGGACAACCAAGGTACACAGAGAAACCCTGTCTTGAAAAAGAAAGAAATAAAAGAGAAAGAAATTAAATTATTTATTCTCTCTCTCTCTCTCTCTCTCTCTCTGTGTGTGTGTGTGTGTGTGCTCGCGTGTGCGTGCATGCTCATGTATGTACACGCCCATGCATGTCACAGATCTCTTGTGGAGATCAGAAGGCAACATTGTGGAGCTGGATCTCTCCTTTTTTCCTGTAGGTGGATCCTGAAGATCAAGCTTACTTTGCTGGGCAGTCAGCAGTCAGCAGCAACTTCACCTGCTGAGCCTTCTCGTTGCTGCCCCAGCAATGTGTGCGACTAATAAAACCCTTGTATACTCACCTTGATGCTCCGAAGTAGAAATTAATCTACTCTGCTTTTGAAAATTTAGGTATAATCTACACACACCATAAAAGTTGCCCCTTTAAAGTGCACAAGTTAGCAGTTTTCAGAACATTCACAGAGTTGAACATCTATTAACCAGCACCTAATTCTGGGATAAGCTGTTTTTAAAACTGCAAGTTTTAAAATGTAGAGGTCCTTGGGTTTTGAACAAATTTAAAAACATAAATGTGTAATGCCACTCCATTGTGTTGAAAGAGCAACTAAATGACACCCAAGAAGACAGAAATATATCAGCTGGAGCCAGACAAAAGCCTTGCATAATTGGCGGATGGAATTTAAAAACCAGTATGATGACTCGGAAGCTCTGCTAAGAACGCCTTCCTCCATTCAGCCCCTGGATTTTCACGACAGTAAAATTTGGAATTGAAATGAACTACTCCAAGAGCCAAGACTTCAAATTGATGTTTCACAGTGTTAAATCAAGATTTTAGCAAATAAGGAAACATACTCAATCTTCCTAATATTACTAGTGGGAGCCAAGTGTGTTTTTGTACCTTCATAAATGTTCAAATAAATTTGTAATGCTGAAAAATTTGCTGGGAAGCACGGTTGATTCCACCTTTACATAATTCTTTCAAATGTCCACATTGGGCAGGTTAGGTAGGAGCCAAGCACGATTATACTGGCCCCCTCTTCCTTGCCCCAGTGTTGTGCCTTCTGTCCCAACCACTCTCTCTGACTCTGTCATTCTAATGCCCCTGATGGCCGCTGCCCCAGGCTCTCACACTGCTGTTCTGTGCTGTTCAGGCCTTTTCTTTGTTCAGGGTTCTTGCTCAACTAGCTGTCTCTCCTGGCCTGACCTCCACCATCACCCACCCCTCCCAATCTGGGCCCTGTGCTCTAGATGCTCCAGGCTTTCCTTCTCCACAGAACCTACTAGAACGCTGGGAGTGTGGCTCACATTTATAATCCCAGCGTTTGGACGACTGCAGCAGTTGCTATACATTTGAGGCCAGCTTGGGCTACAGAGTCTCAGAAAGAAGAGGAGCCAGAGGAGGAGTGGGAAATATTACTAGAGGGTGAGGATGTGGCTCAGCAGCAGAGCACATTCCCAGCAGGCACTAGGCTCTTATTTGGAGCCGAGGAAAAAGAAAGCGATTATTGGCATTGCATTGCATAACACTTTATTATTGATTTGCCTCTCCCGGGAGTAGGGTATTTCCTTAATTCAGAAATGTAGGTGCAGCCTGAGGTGATGTAGGAGTCGGCTGAGGAGCAGCTCCGTGAATTTCCTAGCTGGGCAGTAGACATGGGAGGGCTGAGTGACTCCAGAATCTTCTCTCTGTGGATTGGCATGGTTGGGCCATGAAGGCTTCTGAGTGTGGAGCTGGCCCAGCGGGTGGGAAAGGATTATACCAAAGGCCAGGGGGTGATCCCAGGGCAGCAGCCTTCTTGCTGGCAGAGTGGATTGGGGTATGGCGGGAAGTCAGCCTCTTCTTGTAGTCTCTCGGGCCCTAGTCCTGGGTGCCTCAGAGCCTGCAGGAATCCAAGCTTGGTGGGAGCAACAATGGGAGGGTGCAGGCTTGGCTCTCTATAAATTATTGTTGAGGCCCTCTCCTTTGCAAGCAGCTGGTGGCTGAGGTCAGAGAGGAGAGTCCAAACTGCCCCAGGGGAATCAGGGCCATGTTGTCATGGTGCCTCCGGAAGGAGGAGCTCTGTGAGGTCTGAGGCTGGCTGCTAATTCAGAGTGACTGTCCCCTTGTGAATGCTTGGGTAGGTGCCCTGGAAGCAGCCACTCTAGGCTGGGATAAGGGTTGAGGCCACTAGCAGAGAAGTCCTGGGGTAGGGCCCACAGCCAGAATGCAGGGAGCACGGGATAGAGGTGCAGTCGAGGGAGGGGACAATGAGAAGTTAGTGGGAGGTCAAGGTAAAGGAAGCACCAGGTTAGGGCCTGGGACCTGGCGGGTGGAGCCCCGGAGGACTAGGCAACAACCCCCAGTAGCATCAGCAACGTTCCGGCCAGCAGCGACAGGGCCAGTGGGGTGGTGACTGGGCCTAGGCTACCAGCTCTATCCGGGACAGGGACGGTGGTGGTGATCTGGCGAGTTATCATGGTGGTCTGGCGAGTTGTCGTGGTGGACTGGCGGGTTGTTGTGGTGGTCTGGCTCGGGTTGGTTTCACTGCTCTCGTCCTCAGGAGGCGGCAGATTGCAGTCGGTGTAGGGCTCCAGGCAGCCTGCAAAGGCCATGACGTGCGCGATGTAATTCTGCTCCTGCACTCCGTGCAGCAGGTGTGCCTGCGGGCCACGCGCGAATATTGCCACATCCTCCCCGCCGTGGGTCTCCGACTTTACCGGCACAGCTGCCTGCTGCTGGTATGAGGGGTCACCTGGAGGGACAAGATGTTCAGCGAGAAGATCTCTCCTGGAGTCCCCTCTGCCCCACCCTCAGGCAAGCCGGAACATTGCACTCACCGCTTTCAGCAGCGGTGACGTTGGGTCTTTCCCCTGTACCAACATAGCCCGGGCCGTTGCCATACAGGATGGAGGTGTAGGACTTGCCGTCCAGAGCTTTGAGCGGGGCCAGCCCTGCATAGAGGAAGAGAGACACCTTATTCTCCCAAAGACTGAAGTTTAGATGCCTTTCCCCAACCCAACTTTTGTCTGCCCAGTGGTTGCTAGATTTCCACAAAGCAGGTACCCTTTTCTGTCCATTTAAAAAATAGAGAAGGGGAGGATCAGAAAAAGTTCTTTACGTAATTGATGCAAAACAAAACAAAACAAAAAACCAAACAGCAACAACAACAAAAAGCCTTCCACTTGTCCCCGACCCACCGAAGATGGAGGTCCCCCGAAATGTGTAGCCGCCAAAGGAGAAGACATGGGAGTGGTCAGCAGTAACAATGGTCAATGTGTCTTTCTCACTGGTGAGCTGGCTGGCCTTCTCGATGGCTGTGTCAAACATGACAGCCTCAGTCAGCGCCAGATATGCTGTGCCCAGATGGTGACCACGGTCGATTCGGCCACCTGCAGGAAAGCAGGGAGCACAAGCTTGAGCCTGTCCTTGTCCGTTGCCCCCTCTTTCCATGGGGTCCTGAAGACTCACCCTCCACAAAGAGGTAGAAGCCGTTGGGGTTCCTGCTCAGCACTCTCAGGGCTGCCTCTGTCATGTCCTTCAGAGATGGATCCATTAAGGGGTCTCGTTGAATGTCGAATTTTGTGTCTACAGGCTCAAAGAGGCCTAAGGGACAAAACCCGAAAAATTGTGGTGATCAAGAAGCTTGGTAGTGGGGTCACGGTCCGTGCACACACACATGTCCAAAGGCTGCCGAACTGAGGGGGTACCAGTGCAGGAAGTGTGGGGTCATTACCCATGAGGTATGTCACTGACGGATCGAGGGACTTCTGAATGAGTTCTTCACGGTTCCAAACATACTGGGCTCCCTAGAGGGGCATAAATCATCGGTAAGGCCCCCAGCCCTTCCCTGGTCTCTGCTGCGCCACAATCATTGTGCACCACATCACCTGGTGCTTCGACAGCCATTCTTCCACCAGGTTCCTGCCATCAAGTCTGGTTCCGGTCTGGTTAACATCATTCGGATACTCAGGGTCTGGGGTTCCTTCAGGAAACATGTATTTTCGGCCCCCACCAAGGATCACCTATGCTCAGAGAGGATCAAAGAAGGCAGACTTTAGGGCCTCTGCTTCCTTTCTAATCAATACCCAGCTCCCCACCAGGATCCAGGGAGTTCAGGCTGCATGCCTGGGACCACCCCTCCCCCAGTCTTTATTCCTCACATTGATGTCCATGTTGGAGACAAGTTGTGTGGCAATGTCCTTGCATCCTTCCTGCAGGGCCGAGGCAGGCATATCAGCGTCCCCGTACCAGTTCCGATTCACCGTGTGAACATACGTGCCGGCTGGAGAGGCGTGCTGCACCCTTGTGGTGGTCACCAGTCCTACGGCCTTTCCTGAAGAGTGCAGAGGTCAGGGTGGGACATGGAGTCTCCCATGCCCACCCCCATCCCCGAGCCTGACTCCAACCCACCTGCTTGTTTGGCACGGTACATCACCGAGATGACCTCATTGCCGAATGTGGTGTTGCACTCATCAAACCGTGCGGCCGCGCTCACACCAATGGTCTTGTAGTTGGTCTTCACCCCGCACAGGTAGGCTGTGGCTGTGCTGGCACTGTCTGGGACCTGTCTGTCCACACTGTAGGTCTGGAGACAGAGACATCCTTAACTGGCCTCAAACAGACATTTATTTCTTCACCCAAGCCTGGGACCTGCTCATTATGCCAGGCCCCGAACTGGGCTCTCAGTCTCCAGGGTCCTCTCTGTCACCCCTTCCCTGGGTCCTTGTCAGCCTCTTCCCCAGTACTCACCTTGGACAGAGCCATATATGGGAAGCGGTCCATGGCTAGGGGTGTCTCAGGTCCTAGATGGCCTTCCAACTGTCCCTTTAGGATCCGGGTGGCTGTCACTGTGGGCACCCCCATCCCTGAAGGCAAAGAACCCGATCAGGACTGAACCCTCAGGCCTGCCTGGACCCACCAGCGGCCTTAGATTCCTGAAGTGGAGGGCCCCAGGGTGGCCAGGCCTCGGACACTCACCGTCCCCCAGGAAGATGATGAGGTTCTTGGCTGACGTCTGAATGGGCTGCAGCTTCTTGGCAGCACTCAGAGCTTCAGCTGCCTTTTGGTTCCAGAAGGCTGGGTTCTCCTCCTCCACTGGCCAAGGGAATAGCAGAGGAAGGGTCAGACTAAAGGTCTATGTGCGTGAATGGAGCAGGCATCCAAAGGAGCCTCATTACCTGGGATGACACTCAGTGACAGCTGCAACCTGAGGCCCAGCAGCAGCAGCAGCAGCCAGGCTCCCTGCATGGCTGGGGCTGGGGGTGAGACAGCAGAGATGGAGATCTGGGACACCAGGGTACCAACTAAGGCACAGTCTGCCTGGGCTTAAATAGGGGGAGACTTTGTTCCTCGATGAACAATCTCATGTTCCTCCCTTGGAACCAGGTGGCCACGCTGGCTCCACCTCTGTCCTGTGAACTGAACTGAACCCCTGCTTACTGGAGGAAAATGGCAGGGTGTGTCTGGCCCAGTCTGGGCCAGGGTCCTGACAGAACAGGTTCTATGTATTCTCGCCTGGTAGGGTGGGGGGCTGTGCGGGTACCCTCTGGGCAAGGACCCTGTGCCCCATGCTGCCAGGGAGCTCACGCTGTCCTGGACAGACACATCACCCTTGCTCCTGAGTCGGGGAGCAGATGTTGTTCTGGATGCAGAAGGGTAGCGGGTCTGAAAGGACCCAGTTTGGATGAGGGACTTTTATTTGGTCTCCCCATGTCAGGAGCCACACTGACAAAGGAAATAAGTCTATGGAACACCCTGAGTCCCCGCAGCCCAGCTTGGCCTGGGATTTTTCTCTTTGTTGTTTGTTTGAAACAAGGTTGCAGACAGAAGAAGAAGTGCCACTCACTCACAATGGCCCCAGTCAGGAGCAACCATGAGCTAGGGTTTGGATATGGCTGGCGCCTGTCCTCCACAGGTGCATATGATGTGCACTTGGTCCCTAATTGGGTGACGGTACTGGGAGGTGAGCGAACATTGAAGGGGTGGAAGGGAGAGGTGACTAGGCCTTTTGAGGCTATATTCTTAGAAGGGGTTATCGTATCTCACGAGCTCCTACACAGTTCCTACCTTATTATTATACCTTATAATCCTAGGTATGATTATAATAAAAGACCAAGATTCATTTTGGGCTCCCTTGGGATCTTTCTGTCCTCCGTGACCACATCATGGTGCTATTCACCATGTGATGTAGTGAAGGAGACCTTTATGAGATTCAAGCACACATGAGAGCCAGGGCACTGGACTTCCAAACCTACTTAAAGAGACCTGCTTTTTTATTTACTCCCATCAGAAGATGGAACTACACCAAGTGTCCTTGGATGGATGAATGGATAAACAGACAAGAAGTGACCCAGCTGGGTGGTGGTGGTGGTGGCGGCGGCGGCGGCAGCAGCGGTGGCACACTCCTTTAATCCCAGCACTTGGGAAGCAGAGACAGGTGGATTTCTGTGAGTTTGAGGCCAGCCTGGTCTACAGAGCAAGTTCCAGGACAGGCTTCAAAGCTACAGAGAAAGCCTGTCTCGAAAAACAAAAAACAAAGAAAAGAAAGAGAGAGAAATGGTTCATATAAGTAATAGAACACCATTAACCTGAAAAGAGAAGGCAGTCTGCTGTGTGTAATTACAGGCATAGAAGTGGGAGGCAGGAGGATCTAGAGCTCAAGGAAGCCATGGCTACACAGTGAGTTAAAACCATTATGATAAGCACCGTTAATCCCAGAATTTGGGAGGCAGAGGCAGGAAGATGTCTGTGAGTTTGAGACTAGCCTGGTCTAGTTCACCACCACCAAACCAAACTCAAACCAAAATCAAAAGCAGGGAATCCTGACTCACACTACAGTGTGGATGCACCCTGAGGAAACTGTGCTAAGTGAAACCAGCCCACTAGGAAGGCATAATACTGTCTCATCCTTCTTGGGTGCCACCAAGAGATATAAAATGCTCTACACACAGAAGATGAGGCACTGGAGAGATGGTTCAGAGATTACAGGCACATTCTGTTTCTGTGCAAGATCCGAGTTCAGTTCTCAGCTCCTGCATCAGTGTTCACAGCCGGCTGTAACCCTAGCTCCGAGGGATCTAATGGCTTCCTTAGAGGCCTACTCTCCCCCATTCATAAACTGATTCACACACATACATGTGATTAAAAGGAAAAAGGGGATGTGGAAATGACTGCGTGGTTAAAAGCACTGGCTACCTCTTCCATTGGGCCCAGATTTGATTCCTAGCCCCCTCATGGTAGCTCACAAAAGTTTGTTGCTCCAGTTCCAGGAGAGTCCTACGCCCTTTTCTGAAGACCCCACACACATACACACACACATGCACATACATACACACAGAAAAAAAATAAAAAAGAAAAAGCAAATAAGGGTGATGCATAGCCAGGGGCCGGGGGAGGGGAGAGATGGGAGGGTTTGTTTAACGGGTTCAGTGTCTCAGCTCTTTGAGACATTCTGGTCGTGTACTGCACAGCCACGTGGAGTCCTTAACACTGCATATCTAGAATCGACATCGAGGCAAGCCTCCTTGCCTCTGGCCCGCGCTCTAACCACTCCCTCCTCTTCCTGTGTTGGCATGCTGTGCTAGAAAAATGATTTTTTCCCCAAGTTTATCAACAAATGATTTTATGGCCATACAATAATTACACATATTAATGGGTACAGCAATAATTCAATCCATGATACAATATTGAATGAGGAAATCTGGGTAATTAGAGTTTTCATCTCCTTAAATGTTTCTTTGTGCCGGGAGAGGAAAATTCTTGGCTAAAGTTCAGAGGTGACTGGTTACGGGAGAAGTTCTTAATCAATTAATTAAAAACCCCCAAGTAGTAGGTTAAAGGTTCATGCAGTTAGAAGATGGCTTAGCCATGACACACCACTACTGCCCCCTCCTCTTATTCTTTTCCCGCCACTGCCATCATTGGGTGCTCATTCCACATGGGGGTCAGTTCTCGTCTGCTACCTTTGTGTAGGTTTCAGGTATTGAACTCACTGAACTCAGGTCTCCAAGCTTGTGTGGTAAGCACCTTCACCTGCTGAGTCATCTCGTCGGCCTCTATTCCTTTTTGAAAGTGGAATGTTGGCGTAATTGTAGATTCACATTTATAGTTGTAAGCAATAATGTAAGCTGACCGCCAGGGGACGGGGGAAGTGGGGGGGGGGCTTTGCAATACACAAAGTCACTGTTCTCATGTCCCTAGCTTGACATATGTGAATCCAGGTGGGGATGTGAGATTTTACTCAGGTTTCCCAACCCCTTCCATGATTTTGAAATATTTATTTCCATTTTTAGTTAGGTATGTATGTGTGTAGGTCTGTGCAAGCGAGTGCAGGGGCCTGAACAGTACAGAGGAGGATGCAGGATCCCTCTGGGTGCTACACGTGGTTGTGAGCCACCTGAACGGGGTGCTGGGAATCCAACTCGGGTTTCCGGCTCTTAACCAGTGAACTCTCTCTCCAGCCCCCTCTGCCCTGCCTTTCTTTCTTATTTTACATGTCTCTCGATGTAGCCCAGACACCTGAATCTTGTAATCTTGCTTCAGCCTCCTGAGTTCTAGGATTATAGGTGTGTGCCATGACATCCGGCTTATGTTCAGCTTTAACACCTGAGTGGGTTCATGTCACTACCATGGCCAAGTTCCCTCTTACCTCTAAACCAACCAAACCCCTCTGCAGCCATTCCTTAGCTTCCCCTACCCTCTTCCTCTGTCTCTAACCCCTAACCCAGCAATCCATCCATGTTTCAATTGCATCAATGGGAAGAAATCCTCTGTCATGTTTGGAAGTAGGGCTTCTCCCTCAGTGTAATTCTTTGGGGTACCAGTACCCCACTCCTCTGTGTGGCAGAGCAGTATGACACAGGATGGATGGAGCACCTTGTCACTTTCAAGTTTAAACTGTATCTGGTCTGTTCAGCCTTTCTGGGAGACTAGAGGTCACTGGGTCAATAATGGTGTCGTCTCTCTGTAGCGCCTTGCTGAACACCTTTATCGTGAGTGTAGGGACTGCGCGGCCCTGTCTCCGCAGGTTTCACCAGGAAGCATGTTCCCTTATAGCTTACTACCGTCTCAGTGTTGGCCCTGGGTGGAAAAAGCGTCTCTGCAACCCAAACCACGCAAACCATGACAGGTGCACACTACCCGAGGGTGATGAGGGAGGGAGTCCCTCTGTAAATGTACAAATGGCCATCAAGGGATGGATGAGCTTTAGTAAAACACACCAGCTGAATTTTATTATATCCCCAGAAGTATGTGCCACTCAGGGGTAAGCATCAATTAATTATAAACCATCATAACAGACCAAGAATAGAAAACTACAAAAATGTTTTCTCACAATTTATACCATTTTTGTCTATTCTATGAGTTATGGAATCGAAAACTTTTACTAGCATTTATTTATTTGGTATTTCTTCATTTTTGGCTTACCAGGCAGGTTCGTGTAGCTCTGACTGGCCTTGTAGTAGCTAAATAGGCCAGGTTGGCCTCTACCTATTGGCAGTCCACCTGCTTCAACCTCCAGAGTGCTGGGATTACAAATACCTAATATCAAGTCTGGCATCTATTATCATGGTTGCCTCAATGTATTTATGTATTTATTTTGAGAGAGATGGTCTCACATATCCCAGGCTGGCTTCAAACTTACCATGTAGCTGAAGATGACCTTGAACTTCTGTCCTCCAAAGTGCTAGCATTATAGACATGTACCATCATGTCAAGTTTATACAGTGCTGGGCATCAAACTCAGGACTTACACGTTAAGCTAATACTTTATCAACTGAGCTATATAATTATATAATATATATTATATATATATTATATACTAAGCTATATAATCTTAAAGAACCTACTGGTTCTTTAAGAAAGAGGTCTCCTATAGCCCAAGCCTTGTACTTGCTATGATCCTCCTGTTCCCCCTCCTAACTGTTGAGATTACAAACACATACCACCACCCCTGTTTTATATATTTCAACTTTATTTTTTATGGTGCGGAGGATCAAACCCAGGACTTTGCACACTCTGCCAGTGACTCACACTTAATAATGAAGCTATAAGGTCACAGTAGTAGGTTTGCTTGCTGTCTTCTCCCTTTGAGAAAGGATTTCACTATGTATCTCTGACTGGCTGGTAACTTGCTAGGTAGACCAGGATGGCCTTGAACTCACAACGATTTGCTTGCCTCTGCCTCTCCTTAGAGTGTTTCACCACACCTGACACTATTTATTTTTCTTTAGGATTTGAATGCACAGTGCTTCCTAAGCAGGGCATCCCAGTTGCTCTCATCACTCTCACGA